TTTTATCCATATTAAATATATCGTTCTATCTCTAGCCTAAACTTGTTCTCCATCATGTATTGGTAATTGTTACGATGCGATGAGGTGGTGTAGATAATAATGTGACTTCCACGTAAGGTCTTATAGATTAGGCAGTTACACCGTGACAAATCTACAATTTTAGGATTAGTTCTATTATTAGAGCACTCCTAATATCATCTAGACCCATTAATTCTACAGGTCTATTATGATAGCATTATTTATACCTGATACTCGGTTTATCATGATGCACATTACATTCTCGAGGTTTGACACTTATATCATGTCATTTACAGTCTGATACTGTGGTTGACCTCAGTAAAAGAGCTTACTGAAGATATATTTATACGTGCAATCACAAATGGCGTACAAAAAAATATCAACACTGCGCACCGAAGTGTCTGTTTATGAGTAGAGCAATACGGTAACAAATCGCACTCACAACAAAATAGTATATAAAATAACAACATGATAATAACTACTATGAAATGAATGCTACTTGTATGCCCCATTTGAAATAATAACCACAAGTGAGTTTGTAGAATTACGGTCTACTATGATATTACCACTGCTCTAATAATAGAACTAATCATAAACTTGTAGATTTGTCATGGTGTAACTGCCTAATCTATAAGATCTTACGTGGAAGTCACATCATCATCTACACCAACTCACTGCGTCGTAGCGATTACCAATACATGATATAGAACAATCTTAGGCTAGAGATGGAACAATATATTTAATATGAATAAAAGATATAACGTAACATTTAGCAGGGACCACGCCTGCATGACCAAGCCATGCCATACGACGAACTCGGATTAATTCCTATTCATTGTTCCCGCCTTTCTCTATTATTGAGTATTTCCCAACGTCAAATGTTGAATGTCTATTTTCCATATTGTCTCGTGTTAGGGCCCAATGCCACTACAAGTTCTATTCATAACTATTACAATTACAAGACAAACCTTCAATCTTTTAGGTTCCCGGAGCAAAAAATTCCAAATACCAAAGGAAAGACAAAGGAAACCCAAAATGTCCAAAGTTAAATATATAAACAAACAAGTCCGGATGTCGAGTAAAACAAACACATTAAAAATATCGAGCATAATCAGCCGAATGTCTTCAATCCTCATGTAACAGTAGACACAGAACAAAAGACAAAAACAGTTTATATAAAGTTTTAAGTTGCACCCGAGGAAAGAGCACAGAAAACCCCTTTTGTAAGTCTACTGTTAGATTTGCTAGTTATGAACCACCCGATGACATTTTCTGCGATCATAATATGGGTACGACCCATAAAAAACATTCCTCGACAGTTTTCATCAATAATCCAACTATTTTTTTTTATAGACGCTGTGTCATGTAGAATTCGTTCATTAGATCTAGAATAAATAGCGTTATTTAATTAAATAAATAGGAAAAAACCCATGAGTTCTGAAACTGTATCTGATAAACGAGTCATTTTTGCCTACGAAAATGATTGCTATCTTGGATTTGGTCCATAGAACTTCCTGTGTTTTTTAGCTGAAATCGCCATAGACGATGAATGCTTTTTGTCCTGACAATATGTAACTTCTACAGTTCTAGACACTTCATATTTATAAGAAAAATCATTTCTTGCAGCAATTTCGTCAGGGCTCTTTCTGTTAGAGAGTTAATGACAAATGTAGATATTGTGGCTGGTTTTTCTGCCCAAACACTAGAGAGAGGCTGTCGATACGCAGCAAAATGCTCATTGAACCATATACGGTTTAACTAGATGGTAATTATATCTACGTCAAAATACAAAACATTATCAGCTACCCATATCACAGGAGCTCCTTCTGAACTAAACACTCAATGCTTCTTGATGTTCAAATTTTGCAGTTAGAATGACGTGAAAGCACGAGTAACAACAATGACATATTTCCGCCAGGGCAAGTACGCATCATTTTTGCAGACATGATCTAAAAGTTACAACATTGGGTTGGACATGGTATGCTTCACAAGTAGGGTCGTTAAATAAATGAAATTAATTAAAATAGAAGAGAGTACATTCGTGCGGATGTCCCAGAGAATTAATGGTTCGTCTATTGGTTTAATATTGCACGGAGTGCAATTTTTATAATGCTTTTTCCAAAATGGCATTGTGGCAACGCTGACACCAGGTCCAAATTCGGCATTACTGTATTGGGATTCTGGTTATGCTAAGTACTGATGCAGTACAGCTTTTAAAGGTTATAGTTTTCATTAAGCGAATTTATAGAGCACTTGTTATGGTTTGTGACCTTGAAAAGGCGCATAAGTCATGTCTGTTTCAGGCGTCCGAAACTCCATAGCTGTGCCCTGGGTGCATGGTGCTGGCATAAAGGAGCAACGAATGACCAGAAAGGTACCTGGATATAAAAGCTTAATAATACTTAGTAGTTCGTAGTGGAATAGACAGATGTACGATAAATTTATAGAATAAACTCTTAACAGCTCCTGTCGCTGAAGTGAAATGTGGCCAGAACCTCTAGATAAGAGGATAACGTAATACAAAACAATGCGTTGTGATATTTAACAAGGTGGAGTAGGTTCAAATGACGGAAGAGAAGTCGAAGTTAGAATAAAGAAAGTCATTTATTAGAATTGAAAGAGCATCGAGAGAACAAATTGTTGAGAAACACTAATAGCTATATCTTTTATTATCTGAACTGTTTTTAGTTTTCATTTTTTAACTGATGCCAACCACTGAGTTCTAATGTAAAAATCCAGGTTAGCACATTATAGATTGTCTTAGTAAAATAGCTATAACATGAGTCTGAATAGTGAGCTTAGGAGATTAACCTTGGTATCACTTACTGAATGCTTCGTTTCCAACCATGAAGAGCCTAATACAAACAAAACGTTCTGCCCCACAAACATGGATGGATTGAAGCCATTGCTCTCACCGTCAATGCTTGCTGATCAGAATCGATGGTGAAAAACGCATAATGTTCTCTGAGAAGTGGACCACAATGATCTTCATTAGGTTTCTGAGTCTTGCCGAAAACTTCGTTTTCTCATCATCCGGATTTCCGTTACAGACGTAGTCAAGCACTCATTTATATACTGAGAGATAGAAGCAAGATTATTTTATCATAAAGTATCATCAGAAGTAGCGATTGGTTAATCACGCTTAGCAAACATTCTAACTTTTTCGCCTGGCGCTTAGTATACACCCGATGTAACGACGATGTTCTCAAGCAAGACCGGATTTACTTACAGATAAAGTCTGCATTTGTAAGCATTCTGAAACATCTACAGGTTTATCTTGTAATGACTGTTGATACAAAAAGTTTCCATATAAGATTCGTTTAGGTCTTCTCCACTGAATAGCATCTCCATAACCACTAGAAGTAGTAAATCATAGTTGAATCACAGCATCTGAGGAACTTCGTAATAATTTTCCTGGTTGTCTAACGGATTTTAAAGCTTAGTCATCCGTGACAATGGTGAATCCCTTTCCAAATAATTATTTATAGAGCTTTTTAACAACTCAAAATGTGTGTAATGCTCCTCACTGAGTTTGAGGACAAAAATATTTAGCAACAGTGTGTCAACGGGGAGTACATATAGGTGGTTTACCTTTCTGCTGTACAACTGCATCAATGCTCACAACTAATGCGTAGATAATAACTACATCATTTGCTCCACGACAGTTTGTTGGAAGGACTGCACCACACTGAAAATACCTCAGAAAATTTTTTAAGCGCGACTACAGATTTACACCCCATCTAAACGATTTGAATGTCAACCTTTTGGAAAAGTTAGTACGAAAAGAGGAATAAGAAATAAAATGAGGGTAGTATTGAAAAGCACCTACTATAAATATACATCTGTAAGATTCTTCTGAGTCATCAAGTTTGTGAGTGGAGCTGGTTTCTTCGGACCTGGTCTAAAACCACTGGTTTCAGTTTAATATCCGAAACATACAAAACCACATATACAGTGCAAATGCCACATGGCTTCACTGTAACTAATGAGGTCACTATTTGGGGATGTAACTGCCACACCAATAGAGCAGTTTTATCATTAACCAAACGATAAGTGGTCAAATCCGAAATACTACTAGGTTCAGCGGTGATGACCAAAAAATAAGTTTGATCCAGACTCAAAGACAATTAATCTATTAGATAAAAATTGTGAAAGTCATCCCCAGAGTAATAGTTAGATGAAAGATATCACGTTGAAACTTATGAACATTTTCAACTCAAGTGTATCCATAGGAAATTACAAGTACCATTCTTTTCTGTCTTCTGGATAATGATTAGTAACTGAAGTTTTAACAAATTCTGAGAGCTATAAGGTATCCTGTCAACTTATCGAAATAAAACTCTATTGTTGCAGGCTTCCTGTCTTGTTGTCAGGCGTCAGTACAGTCCGCTCTTGTAGGTCAATGACCTTCAACATGTAGGGCCAGTGAAATACCTCTGATCCCTAGCCAAATCACCCGACAGTCGAGTCGCTGAATATCGAATGTTTCTCCTATCTTCGTTGGAATCAGGGGCAACCGATGAACATTGGTTAATTGCATGCCATGAACTGTTCCATGTGGTGGTAGTCTTTGTTTCATGTACCTACATTTACTAATATATTTCTGTGGTAATCGTTTGTGTCGTACGGTCTTCAAAGCAGCCATAGAACCTAGATATGACGAAAAAGCAATCCATCCTGGATACTAGCCGTAAGGTTGGACTTCGATGTTAGCTGGTTGGTCTAACTCGAGTAGGTCCTCAGTCATTTGATACGGACCGTCTACTATGGTGATCTACGAACGGATGGACATTCTCAGGAATACAACTTACCAATATCATTAAAAATTACGCAGAATCAACAGAAATTCCTTAACTTTTATTGTCATTGTTGTGTTGAGAACGGTCAAAATATTTAGTCGGCGGATTATTATTGCTGAAGTTCAACCTTCACTTGTGGCGGTTATTCAGAGTTATTAAGGCCTTGTACCTTACCGTCTCACGATGTTGCTCGTGCTTTGGTTGGTTGTATTTGTCTTTGAAACACCATATGGTAATTAGAAAGCTATCACTTTAAAAAAATTTTAAGGTGCGTCCACAAGAGAACAATACTTGCAATTCATCCCTGTTAGCGGAGTTAGACATGACACCTATTTCTATGAACATCCTGGTCTGCGAAATCCTATTGAAATAGATGCCACTATTAAACAGCAGGTCCGCATCAGGATTGTTGAACATCTGAACGAGCTTCCTGTGTTAAGGATTCATTGCATCGTTGCTCCACTCGATTCGACTCATGAACTCGTCTCTGCTTACTTATGTCGCAGGGTAATTTACCATTTTGAATTACTAAATTAATGTGATGTGGAGTGTATTACCGTTTATATTCTAATCTTGCTTGTTTGTGTCTGGCTGGTTTGTATGTATATAAGCTATTTGATTTCCATCCCGGTTTATGTACTAGCTATTAACCGTATGCTGTATGCTAGGGATGCCACACTATAAAGCGCAAATTAACCATGAAATATGCTAGTAGTCAGCTTTTTATATATATTCTAGACAAGTTTAGATCCCTGAAAAGACCGTGGGCTATATTTACTACCCTCTATGCTCGTTACAGTGTTCTGTCTACTCTGCTTACTCCCGTTCGTTTCGTACGCCCTTTATCTGACCTGCTCTACAGAATCTGTAGAACTTTTCACTTAGGCATACGTTGTACATTACTCGGGCTAACCACGAGTTTGTTTACATTTTGCTACCAAATTTTCTGAGCTGGAGATGTGCGTAGTAAAATTAGTCAGAATTGATTACTACTTTAATGGTTCTATTACATGAAATGTGATTATGTTGCAGGTAGTTGGAGTTTTTAACTTCTGTCAGTTCTAAAAGCTGGTTCCAAGTACTGTGGGTTCCTACAGTTTTTAGTTCTCTGCAAATGATAGTTGAGTTGAATTTATTTTTAATAACATCACAAGCTTACTGACATCGACAAATGTGTTAGGATTAACATCAAGATGGGAAAATCAGCTTCAAGGTCGTGGCGGTCAGGATTTGGGATCGAGGTTTTCATTGCGAACCGATACCAGCAATAATATAGGCTTTCTATAATCCATATACTATTTGTTAGTTCCGGGATTATAACTCATTCACTTATCTTTTCTATCTTTCTGATGAGTTAAAACAGGTTAAGGCTTTAAGGTCGTTCGGTGGTATATGTCATATACAGCTTATGTTGAATAAACTAACACAACGACAGTCTTCGTAAATGTAGCCTAAATATTCGAGTAAGTAAAAGCCCATTGGACTTCATCAAATTATGTGGTCTACTAGTCTTTTGTTTGAGTTAGTCTCGATACATCGTTTAATTGACAAACCAATCTTTTTGGTGTTGACCACTTCATGTATTTTAAAAGTCTACTCGGTAATTTTTGATTTACCACCGACCGATCCATGATACTGAGAGCAATACTAACCATTTGTGGCAGGTAATTTCCTTGATCATACTTTGAAAAATCAAGCGTGCTGCATAGTTTCCTCCGCATCTTGTAACTTTTGTAAATATGGCTTTAAAATGTTGCTCTTACTTGTTCATTGTTATTTTATATTTGAAAGTATCCTAATCTGTACGCATTTGTTTATCTAGCTTTAATTTCCGTGCTATTTTGTTGATTATTCCAGAAGTCTACGCACGATTCGGATGAATGCATTGATCCTAAAACAAGAAATGTTATTTTCGGTCGAGTTGAGTTTAGCGCTAATGGCAATAGATCTTCAGGTATTTGTTTATTGGATGTTAACTATTTGTTACAGGCTACACGTTTTCTTCTAGGCTACCTGTTAAAGATGAACTGCTTGACGGCTTTTACTTCTGCAAGTATCACAACCGGAATGGAGAGCTAATTTCAAATTTTATTGAAATACAGGATGCGTATTACTATCATAAACGTAAGTCTCGTTCTGCCAATTTAGTTCGAGTAGTATATTATTGTTTATGGTAAGTCAAATATCAAGTGGTTATTCATAGTATACAAAATGCAGTAAATATTAGTCTGGATTATCACAATTCATACCACAGGTTGCGGAAATTAGTAAGGGAATAACAACGTTTATCATAGTGAAAAATTACATATCAATCATTTAGTTGTAATCAACATAGACCCTAACACAAATGTGCATCGGCACAAGTTATGAGTCACATCACTACCGCGAAACGAAGTTAACAAAACAAATCGAGAAAAAGTCAAGATGACGGTAGGATCCATGAGAATGAGGTCCAAAAAACGGGTCAATCTGAAGAAAAATGTACAAAACAATATTAAGGACAAAGAGTGGATCTGTCTCCTTCACTGCCACTAATTTTCAGTCACGTTACCCGAAAATTGAAAGTAGCATATGTAGTTCGAATCAAAGCAAAATAAAATAAAACGCATGAAATAATGTCAAAATAAGTTTCAGAGAAAGGTGAGTCACAAATACATTTGCACTATTGCTGCTAATTTAAAGTTATCCCACTCAAGGTCTCCAACCATTAACTAGTACCATTTTTTTCAAATACGGTTAGTAGTCTTATCTTAAAATACACGGACTTTTATCCACATAGATGCGATTACCTAGTTGCCCCACATGTGACTTAATCGATAAGTACATGTTTGTGCACTCGACTTTGAAGCACAATAGGGGACTTGGTGATGTTAAGTCAGTTGCCTGAACCTACAAAATGGAGCGGGATTGGAATCTACAATCTTCTGGTTGAAAACCAAGCCCTTTAACCACAAAGCCATTTCTTCACAAAGAAAAGATTCAGGTAGTCAGGTATAATCAGTAATTTTTATACATCTAGTACCTACAAAAGTCATTTTACTATTGAGCATATCTTAAGCTAAGTTTGAAAATAGGAATGTCATGAATGTATGTATGCTACTCAGTAAACCTACAATTATTTTCACCCGGAGGCCTGTCATAATCTCTGGTTAGCTGTAAAAAGTAACGACCTTTGTCAAAGAGTGGGAACAGTTTATGGGATTTTGTTGGTCCAGAAACCTGTCCCGAAAGACCAAGTCTGAGTAATCCAAAAGTAAATTGACGACAGATCTACACATTGACGGTGAGCACTGACAGAGAGAAAGAAATGAGATGCAGTAGGGATATGATAAGTAACTTTGGACAGTTCTTTAAACTAATGAAAAAGATCTAAGTTAAAATACTAAACTTTAATGGGAAGGACTCAAAGATTGAACACCAGCGATCCACTGTCAGACTAAGCAAATGAAACAATGTGGGAAATTGCAGGATGACATCTACGTAAACAATGTGGCCAGTGCAGATCACTGTACTACTTTCGTTAGTCATACATCATGTTTCATCATCTTATTTTCATACCTAAAAGTGCTTTTGACAATTTCTTGCCTTATATTTTCTCGCCATATTCATAGGTATGGTTAAACGACCTGTAAAGCAAACTGAGTATTTACCTCCTTTATCTATCAATGATCTTCCCTTGAGTCTGGAATGCGGACAAACTCAAGTATCTGAAGAGTTGCCAAGTTGGGCTGATGCAGCGTTCCCCAGTCCGTTTATGTGGTCATTTTGCGATGTAGACAGCCCTGATGGTATACAGTCTGCTGGCTGCATGCGTAGAGTTCGTCAAACATCCACTCATGTTACAAATTATTTTGAAAGTTATGTCTCTCCGAACGGTAAGTTCCATCCCTTTTTACTTAAGTTGTGGACTATTATAAAAATAACTTGTTTTCCTTCTTATTGACTAGAAATTTGTAGACTGTGATGAACGTTCATTAAGGTTAATTTATTTGTGAATTTACGACGCTAAAATAAACACAAGAATAAATCAAAAGTTATAAAAAGAAAATAGCCAATTAAAGAATTTTCTGCCTGCTACGAATCGAGGTTGATTTAGTTTCTAAAGAATACACTGACAGCCTATTAATTAAACTAGATTTTACTGGGTAAATAACATTTATCTAGCGAAATTTTACGCTTTACCCATATTTATCTTTGTAATATTTGAAAAAAGGGACATATAATCTCTTTGATTTGCTTTCTTATGTATAAATTGATCAATTAGCTTTTATTTCCATATCAGCCATTTAAGATTGTTTGTATTCCTTCATTCACCAGGTACTTTGGTGTTATACAAGCGCACAACTTCAGCATGGAAAGATATGGGTTTGGTGTGCTGGAGCCACTTGGACTCCTCAGCTGTTTATTCTACCTATTTTGGTGGTTCAAATGAGCGGCCTAAGTTGTTGACTTATGACTCCAATATACCATTCGTTGGTAGTGGAATTACTGTATTATCACCCCTCACACAAAGGATTACTGTTCGAATTGGACCAGTAAGTATAGAGCATGCATTCTAATATGTACTAGTTTATATCCTGACAGCCTGTGCCTAGGGCTTCATATTTATGTGACTGAGGTTGTTTGTAGTATTTTTCACTGAAAATTTACGATGGTCACCGCAATTGCATCGATTCCAGTAGCTGTAATATGTACTTCGAATTAGCTTCTCTTATACTTAACTTTATGCTACGCAACTCAGTCATACTTTAAATGACCTAACAATAATCAGTGATTAAGAAAGTTTTCTTTGCTTCACCATAAGATAAACATCAAACTTATATAGCATTTCATCAAAGTGAGAAATCATTACTAGTTTTGTGTACTTTTAATAGAACTAGACAAGAAAACAAACACAATTCAGGTTTATTAGTTTGTTGGTTTAAGTTACCACGCCTCATCACATATAAACAGGGTGACTGAAATTCAAAAAGGAAAGTCGATGTAGGTGATTGTAATCAACACATTAGTAAATAAACAAGGTCAAAATAAAAAGACAAGTCAACGCAAGAAATAGAAAAGTATCAATTCGTTTTATATTAATTGCACAAAGAACAGATCCAGTCATGTATCATTTCTTACGAAAATATGAGACGAAGAATAGTATTTTAACTCAATAACCTACCGTGTAGCAGGCAGTCATGTATCTTGTGAGGAGAGATCATATTGCTAACTATCCATAAATAAGTAGTTAGAGTAGATTTTATTCTAGGATTGGAGTAAAATATTTACGCTGTCATTTATTTAATAAAGTATTATTTATTTGAATTAAAAACCAAGTTATAAAGTTACCCAAAACTGGTATAACTTGATACAAATCGTTACGTACAATACCAGTATAAAATGCTCTGAAAATGGTAGCGAACCATATTTCGTAACCTGATTCTTTTATGGAGTGGAATTTTAATTATTTGGTGAGACCAATTTTCGATTATTAAAATAAATGAGTAGAATGCCAATTGACTGACAGTACGAAATTATAAGAAGCGTCGTGGATTGATGGTGGCGCAGGCAAACTAAATATTAACTTAAGCCCCCCCATTGATGGCATGGTGTTAGGCTTATATACGAAATATTAGCACAAAAAATGACATGGTAAAATGTTGTAAGTGATTGGAGAAAATCAGTTTATACGGGAAGCATGCATGCTCATAAGTCATTTTTATGTGCAATTAGTTGTTGTGCACAGACCTTTGCAAGTCACTAGTCAACTAATGGACTTACGTTTTGGCTGATTGACCTAACATCTGACCTCCATATCATTCGTCTTTATGGGTGATCAGGACTTTGCTATGATATAAAAGTCTCTGACACTGAGATTTATATCGATATTTTCTTTCACGTCACAGAAAATCCTTAAGTTTATGTGTCGCTATTAGTTTGATAAAATCCCCATTCCAAACCCTTACATTTCTTAAAATTTTAGCGAACTGGTCTCAAGTTAGTCACTAAGTATCGATCTACTCCAGAGTACACGACTGTCAAATGGACCAAAGACGGCAGAAGAATTCCACCTGATTTTCCAGGACACAGTGATTATCTCTTAAAGTTTCCTGATCTCATTCGCCGAGAGCACTCTGGTATGTTTCATGGCTTTTTTCTGGTGATTGGTTGCTAGTTGTTTATTATATTTCAGTTTGTTTATTTGTTTATGTTCCAATTGTCCAGAGCTGGTAAATCTATTAGAATAGAACAAGACCAACGTTTTCGGAAGGATTACTCAATGAAGTAGTTTTATGAATTAGTTTTCTAATTTTTTCATATAGTTTTCCCTCTCATTAGTTCTATTCTTTCGGGTTATTACGAAGTTGTTTTACTTACAGGGATGATTCAAGCTTCTGTATATGATTTTATGTTTCGTTTCCTAGTTGATGTTAATGTACTTGTATAGTTTTCAATAGTTTTTATACTTGCTGAACATAATACTACTGTCATAGGGATGTCTTTTGTTTTTAATTGACCATATTACATTGATATTATTTTGATAGCTTGCGGATCGATTGGAAGCAATCTTTCTGATACATCAGCGATCGAACAGGAAAACATCGTGAAAAAGTCAGGAAAAGGCGATTTTATGAGACGTAATACGGAATTACATTAAGTTATGTGTTGTACAGCCAATCATTTAACAGTAGATGTTAAAAACTCCTTTTGAGTAGAAACATTTGATTCTTGAATAAAAGTTTGGAAAGACATCCGAGGGTCTTAAACGTGTGAAGCGTAATTGACAGTGTATCGATCATATCTCCAACCATCACCATAACCTAAGACATTACATTCAGAAGTCCTTCATTCTATCTATATTTTCACACACAATGTCTTAGTTTAGTTTCGTTGGTCAGCATCTTTAGTGACTAAGTCTGAAAAAGATTTTAAAACAAATATACTATGTTATTCAAACTTCATTTACCATATCATGGTTTCTGTTTTTTTCTTTTTTTGAGGTTGTCTAAATATACTAATACTTATGATGTTTGCCTGTCCGATAACCAGATTCTTATTAATTTGCTAACAGCTTTTGTTTGAACAGTTACTTAATCTTTTCTATATACTTACTGTTTCGTTCTAATCTCATTCACTCCTGTGTGTATGTATGTATGTATCTGTTTTTATACTTTATCCACTAAATTTATACTCAAGCAAAAGACAATCAAACACTTGCCGTTCATGTATACAGTTAGATTTGTTTACTTGATTGCCACTAGTTTCCACAGTCTTATTTTTGATAAGCTAACTTCTTTACCTGTTTCATTTTATCGATCTGGTATTATTCAAAGTCATGCAAAATCGATTTTCCTTTGAATTAAAATTGAACACTACCAACTATCTTTGTGGAAACATATAAAATAGTCTTTGTATTATTTGTTATGTTTTTGCTTGTTCTCTTAAGGGACTTACAATTTACTTGTGGAAAACGGGTATGATCAAGTTAATTTTCAGTTCATAGTGAGTGTAGTCGGTCCACCTGAAGTGATACGTGCTCCTCCACCTTTACTTTTAGTGATGGAGGGAGAAAATGTTACATTTAGCTGTCAGTTGGATTCGTTTATAACGGAGGTAATTTACTTACTATATATGTTCTTTTATGTAGAATTATCATACTTTAGGTGTTAACTAGAATTGTTTTTATTGCGCTAGCATTTATGTATCCATCATATTTTATGCTAATCTTACGGGGTAGAACAACTTTTTTGAACACGGGGTGAAATCTTTATTTAGACATTGGTTAATTGTTAACATATAGTAATAATCTTATTTAAAATTAGTTTCCAATCGTGCAGCTGTTGGGCACTAGTAGTACAGTCATTTGACTCATCTTTTTATTTATTTGAACATATAAAGATTGGTACAAGGGGGGACCAAATACATATGCTTCACATAATAACAATGAGATTGTAAAAAGATAGATAATGTAAAGTGCGTACGATAAAAAGAACAACGACGAGCAGAAGTTAGTGTATGAGAGTGCAATAATAATAATGAGAGGGGCAGTTCAGCTAGGAAAGATACGACCAGAAGGGATTTCAATTAAAGAAGTTACGTTTACTTTTATAAAAAAAGTAGAAACCACAGCAGGATCGCCACTGGTTTCTATTCTGAGTCATATCTGATAACGTCTCTGGCCACTGTGTTGCTCCATCTCTTGGACCCCAACTAGGGATTAGTGAAGGACCAACAGAAGCCAGTCCTGTACAGTTTTCTTTCATACCATGACATCATATCATGCACTGACCACCTCTCCTCTATTTCCAACCAGTCTCAGTGTCGGGAAATAATACACGATTTGGGATTTGCTGAGACGACATTTGTAAGGCATGTCCAAGCCACCGAAGTCGATGTTTTAAAATGGTGAAAGCAATTGAATTATTGTCTCTGTGCCTAAACACACTATTCCGAACCTGTGCATTATCAACATGGTGTTGCCACTGGATGTCAGCAATCCTTCGGAGACAACGATGATCAAACACAGAGAGTCGTCTAACATCCTCAACTCGGAGAGGACGGGTGTCACAAGCATAGAGCGAACCTGCTCTTACCAACGCATTGTAGATCCCACCTTTTACAGCCAGACTAACATCACGAAGGTGCCAAAGATGACCCAGATTGGCATAAGCCGCTCTGGATTTCACTATACGTGGATCGATCTCATCACTCACTTCACCACCAGCACTTATGCAGCTACCCAGATACGCGGCCCCCAAATGCCCTGTTACAGCCGAGAGTGGGGAGAGTCCGCTCACCCTCTCGAAATGCTCTCACATGGCCACGCGTATATAGCCTCTGCCAGGGAAGTCCTACTCACTGCCTTCTCGTGGCGGGGGTAATGTTTACGAAATTGGGAGGACAAAGAGCGAATGTCCGGCGCTTTAACCGGCTTGGTAGGTAAGGAGGGTCCATCTGGGGTAGTTGGAAAACACTGATTCCAAACCAATGATTCACATGGGCTCCAGTATCCTGAGGGAACAAATGGCGTATGAACCAATCGTTGGTCACCCGCTACCATGGGACTGCATCTCCAGGCGTTACTCCACTGCCTTGTGAATCAGACCTTTAGGTCGAAGGCTCGGGTGTGGCCCTCTAAAACAACCACCTGCTTCGGTCTGGGCACCCAGGCAGTATAACAGCCCACACATAAATCAAGTGGTTTGTGTGACGCATATGTATTCGGTGCCCCTCCGTACTAATATTTATGCGTTCAAACAACAATAAACAAACTCTGACTATTCCATTATTTGCGCTAATCTTACCTTAAGTTTCAGTGGCCAATAAATCCATCGTCCTAAACGGATCGATGCCAGTAAATTGGTTGCAGCTTCTCTTGCGACTACATATCGAACCAAGCTAGGTTCAGTGCTAGCTACCAGCCCACTGAACAGCATAAACGAGCATTGGCTGTAGTTGTATGGCAAATGAAGTCGCCTGCAGCATACGAAATGTCCCGCTTATAAGCATTGGGTTTCTACAGGTTCCTTACAACTCACCATTCCTCTACAATTTCGCTATCGATGACATTCTCGAAACAGCTCGGATGAATGTAAGTAATGGCGGTGTGGATCTGTTTCCTGGAGAAACTTTTCGACCTTGAGTATGCGGATGATATTGTCTTACTGTGTTATAATACCCAAGCCGTCCAATCCACACTTAGCAGACAATCAGTGTTCCTAAGTGTGGTATGTGCTTTGAGCCTTCCAAGTTCAAAGTACTTCTACGGGACTGGCACAACACTGAACCTGCAGTCACATTGAGTAGCGGGCAGATAGTGGTCAAGAGGTTCACGTATCTGGGTTATTATTATTATTTGAACACATAAATATTGGTACAAGGAGGCACCAAATACATATGCGTCACACAAACCACTTGATTTATGTGTGGGCTGTTATACTGCCTGGGTGCCCAGACCGAAGCAGGTGGTTGTTTTAGAGGGCCACACCCGAGCCTTCGACCTAAAGGTCTGATTCACAAGGCAGTGGAGTAACGCCTGGAGATGCAGTCCCATGGTAGCGGGTGACCAACGATTGGTTCATACGCCATTTGTTCCCTCAGGATACTGGAGCCCATGTGAATCATTGGTTTGGAATCAGTGTTTTCCAACTACCCCAGATGGACCCTCCTTACCTACCAAGCCGGTTAAAGCGCCGGACATTCGCTCTTTGTCCTCTCAATTTCGTAAACAACCTCACTGCAAGAAGAAAGTTAGACTTCCCTGGTAGTGGTGGTCTACGCGACGCCATGTGAAAACATTTCGAAAAGGAGAGCGGACCCTCCTCACCTTCAGCTCTTACGTATTGAACAGTTTAAATTAGAATTTTCTTGTAGTCCAGTTATATTGGTTTTAACCCTTAGATAACTGTACCCTATAGTCAAAATATTGAACTTACTAATCGTGTTTTTCATACTCACCTCCCAGCAATTGTCAGCCTTAATTGGGAATCGCCTTTACCACCTAATATGATTTTTTTTCGTTGTATAAATATTTGATGCATACCTAGAAAACTGATTATTATTATTAAATCACTCTCGACTGCTGGATTTATTTTTATGATGATTGTTTTGTCATTTTTTAGTCTTTAGAAATCAATGGTCTACCTTATCAACCGAATCCTACTAATTTTCGTACTGAACTAAGAGATCAATATCCGTATTTAAAAGATGCTTTAATACAACCATTGCAAAAAAATGGTCATATTTTAACTTATTCAGCCTATAATTTGCTGTTTACACCTGGTAGCAAAGTTGGACCGACTCATACTGTCAGCTTGGTTGGGAAAAATGAATATGGCTTGGCTCGAGTATCCACACTTGTCAGAGTACTACGTAAGATACAGATATTGTTGATGTGTTTTCATTATTGTTTTGATGGTACATGTGTATGCATGCTTCTATTCACTTAGACAAGACAAACATTTCTAAAGTATCATAGTTTCGGAAAAAAATGTTTTTTTTATTTGGTTGACTGCAATCGTCCTCTCTTATCCAGGATTATTATAAGGGCGAGTGAAAATGGGCAGAGATCAATAAGGGCGATCATCGAAAGGGCAACCATTAATAAGGGCCACTATGAAAAGGCACATATTAATCGAGGTGAGCATTTTTGGTGGTGTAAATTATTTTCAATTCACTCTCTGCCCTACCATCAATCATAAGGGGAGTTTTCCAAACGTCTAATGAAGAGTCTACTTTCAACAAATATTGCGATTCTTCGAATTTATTAACAAACTGTTATTCATATTACCCTAGTCATGTTATCGCATACGTCTATTTCGAACGGCTAGGGGATAGTCTATTTATAGGAATGTTTCGAAAACTCTTGAAAATGTTTGATGAATTTCAAGTTGAATGGGTTCTAAATGCTAAAAATGTCTTTCTTTTAAAATTACTAAGTCACACGACATTCTTCACTACATGTTTTCCCGAAAACATTATCCATTGTGCTCTTCAACGAAGATTAGTAAACTTTTATTCTGTCGATTGTCGACTTCTGTAGTAATAAGAGCTGAATGACTATGTTTTATTTAATGTTATTTAGATAAACAGGTGAAACATATTAAGTGGATCTCATGGAATTAACATTATTAACATAGAATTATTAAGCATGTATATTAGGCAGGCTATCATTCATTCCAGTTACAATCATACACGGGCAGACACGTTCAAACATTTTTTTTCAAATAATTAGTTTAAATTACGAATTCAAGTATATTACAACAATATCTTATAGATGATTTCTCTGCAGAGGCGGTAGAAGTTTATCATTTCAAACCTGAACGATGTGTACAAAAACGTCGCGTCAAGCTATCATCATATCATGACTCTAATACCTAATTTTCCACGTACAGTTAATCGATTATTTATACTTCACCTTAATGATTTTGACTTTTAGTCATTTGTTATTAAAACCATGTTTTTTTAATTCATTCATCTTTCCCATACTCCTCAAGTGGATAATTGTCTTCCACATGTTTGGTTTTTACCTTATTATTTTTATTTTACTTCTTGATCGTTATGCAACTTTATTTCATTTTGACAGACTAAGAGGGGTAATGAGCGTAAGGAAGTAAGTAAGCAACAGACATTCAAAATTCTAACCCCGACTTCCTGATACGTTGACAACTCCTCAACCAGCCTAAGAGCTATTTACTACTACAATAAAATAATCTTGACAGCATTAACTGACAGAATATGGTAAATTAGAAGGGGATATCATTAATTTAATCTAGATGCAAATGTTACATACATGATAAAATTTGCGTAACACCGTTTAACATGTTTAGACGTGAATATTCAAATTATGTACTACTGTACGGAGATTGTCCAGTGTCGATCTGTTTTCATAATCTACGATCAGTTTTAATACATACTTCTACCTCGTACTTTCTTTGTAAGTGTTGTTACTGGATTCATGCAACAGACGGTTTCATTTCCAATCCATTTAATCTGTTCATTTTTCATCGCATCAATAATTTTCTATATACTTAAATGAGCGGTACCGAGAAGTAGCTAAAGCTTCTACACCACCTAACACAATATTTGTTTTATGAAGATCTCCAACTTAAAAAACTTGTTAATTCATCATTTGTTTATTGAAATGACATGTAAACAAACCGTATAATACAAGTTTGTTCTACGTATCCCTGAATAAAACTATCTGACTAATTATATACTTAGATTGACATTATTGCTTTAAGACTGAAACTGAAATCAGCAGAGTAAACCTAAAACCCACTAGTTTTGGGTCGAATTGTGGTGCATGCTACTTATATTGATATAAGTAGTATATGTCGCGAGTCAGGAATACAATGTCTAGCTGCAGAAGATGGGGAAGATCAAGAAAGGAAGAACGGGAATAGAAAGCAATTAGTATAGAAACGCAAAAGCAATGAAGTCCGAGACAATTGTTGAACATTTTGCAAATTACGTATTATAGCATGGTTTTTCTATTTTACCAAGTAATTCGGTAATTTTGTGCTAAATATAATTCGGTTGTCTTCACCTGTGTTTTCCTTCACTACAGAATAATGAAGTTGTTATCACATTGCTCTGCACGTCTATTAAGTTCGGTAATTTGTATTTCTCCAGACTATGATCCGTTAAGATCTGATGATCAATAAAATCGTTGTGGAAAGTGATTAAAGAATAATGACCCAGATTTTTACCTCAAATTAGCTTAAACTTTATTCTTATGCAGTCGGGTCTTGCGATAACCAATCTATTTTATTCATTGAGTTTTATTTGTTCTCAATTTTAGCCCGAATAAACATCTTGAAGGCTCCAAAGGATTACTCATGTACTACCGATTGTTTAAACACTATTTCACATGCATTCGATTGCGTTATCGACACAGATCCTTATCAGTCTACTTACTTTGTACAAACATGGGAATTAAATGGCATTCCTGTGTCGAAAATGACAAAAGATTATCAACAGTCGAAATTTATTAAAACAGAAGGCACAAAGGTAGGTGAATTAATTCAATGATATTCATAATTGTTTTGATAGAGAAATAAATATCTATCCATTGTATGAATCTGTTTATCATGTAATAACCATCATAATTCTATTGTTATAAGCTTAGTAAAATGACCATCTAACTAGTGGAAGTAGGAAGTAATTGGCCACTGAACGTAGATTTACAGATACAACTTACTAGTTACTTTGTGATTTCTTTCCTATCATTGATGTCTACTCTAGACTTACGAAGTATGCCTGCTTGAAATGAATGGCGTTGATTAAAGTATTGGCTATCATGTACTCTAGTTCTCCACTACTGGTCGTAAATCGGGTATCTGATATAGCGTGATCATATCTGTGTAGAGCGCATCAATCGTGTATCCAGTTTAGTGGTGGCAAAATCTCAGTCACCGGTCATAATATCGTATTCTAATACTGTATCGTGAAAAAAGAGAAATATATTTTATTCTACCTATATGTCAGAAAAAAATTATATTTTGTGTAGATATTACAGGTAATTGTTGCTAATCACACACTTAAATTTGTTTCCTATATATACACTAAAATGAAAAGTCAACTTTCTTTTCTGAAAAATTGACCCTTGCAACTAGACATTTTGGGTTTTATTAATATTAGTAAATGTGAAGGAATTTCAACTCCATTTTTGACGGTCGTTATTTTCCTAGTTCAAATATATACTTTTATTAAACAATAGCAGATTATTTTCCAATATCCCAACAGCTTTGACAGTTAGCTTACTATTCAACTTTTACCGTGACTGGATTTTCAAATATCTTGCCTTCCTGTACAACCTTCAACCTACATTAACAAGTATTCATCGGCTTCGATTGTTGGGGTGTACTTTTTTTGTGTTAAAACAGGAGAAAAATATCGTGTTATGTATATTTATGTCTTTCAAGAGAAAATTAGATTGTAACTTGAATAATTTATTCATTTTTGGGTAAAAGCTACCATGAAATAGTATTTTATTAATATATGGTTTATGTAGATGAAAATGTGTACATATATGTTCTTTTATGTAGTTGATAATCACGCCCGTTGATGATCCGTCCTTAACTGTATTGTTCCGAAAAGTGAATGTGACATGTCGTTGGCGTATCTTTTATCCACATGTGACTTCTCGTATTGCAGATCTGGATACAAGACTTTTAGAACCGAATATGAAGGTGTATGATTCTCATGAGGATGTAAGAATCCGTCCACTTATGACAGCAGCGTTGGATCTACAAGTGGATCATGACCCGACTCCGGGTTAGTTGACACTTCCTCTTATTCTTCTGTTCCTTCTAAAATGATTATTATTATCACTACTACCATTATTATTATTATTATCATTATTATTATTAATATTATTATTATTTCAATAGTTGAGATCACAAGTCAATTGAAGCTAGACCACTATGGAAAACCTGGAAACACTGAACGGCCGTTTCGTTCTATTGTGGGACTCCTCAACAGTGCACACCCACGAACCGAGGACTTATTGGTCTTGCGCGCATGCGCTTAACCACTAAACTACTGAGCCGTCCAGTGCTTCCAGGTTTTCCATGGTGGTCTAGCCTCAATTGACTCATGATGTAAACTATTGAAACTACTACAATCTCCACAAAACCCCTTCTGATATTATTATTATTATTATTATCGTTGTAATTGGGTATTCACGTTTCCTTTACATGCTTCCTCACACATTTTCTTTTTTCTCTATCCTTTTCCTTCATAGCATCAGCTAACATATCTTGGATAACAGCTGTGATTATCGGTATCCTTGTTATAATTGCGATCGGAGTTCTAACTGCTTGTCTGGTCATGAGATTCCGTGGAGAAACTTATATGCGTAAGTTTATACTCGATGAGAGTATACAATGTGTATAATATTCTAATACGTTATTGATCGGAGACTATGAATACTGCTAACACTTGCCATGACTTTAATTCTTCGATTGGGAGTTCAGACTCTATGAAACGTTTGCTAAGTCTGAAGTTTTGAGAACAGTTTCTTCATGTATACTTATCACGTCATTGTAAGCTTCTTATTCTTCATGTGTATGACTTAACGTTTTCTCCGTGGGTAATCGCCAAATCTGTTCACTGGACTACACATGCTAGTTGGCAAACTGTAGACCGCTTTTGGAACAGATTGGATTGGACTATTCTTATCTATAGACTGAATGTGTTCACGTATCCCACTGATAGAATTCGATCTAAACAGAAGGAATATGTATTCAGTTTTTCGATATCGTCACCCTGCTAGGCACTACTAACACCTAGCTTCACGTTGGTACAAGTAATATGTCTTACTAGTTTCAAATAACTAAATAATTTTAAGTTTTTACAATTTTACCTTAAATGTACATAAGATACAGGTGTGTTTTAAAGCCTTCTTATTTTTAAAGAACGATCTTGAAACTTCAACATTTATTTATTCCTTACCACCCATATGTTATTACAGTGATTCAAAGATTCATCGTTTTTCCCCACCTTTTATCTTCACCTTCACATTATTTTAATTACTTATACTGATTACTTGACTTTGATTCCATGTCGTAGATCTTTTTGTTATATACGATGAAGTGTTTCTTGATGCCAATAACTTGTGTTAATTTATTTTGGCTATTTATTTACTCCGAAGAAGCGTGCTACATTGTCAAAAAACGTCAGAGATAAAAAATTTTCACTCATTGGGATATAGCAAATATATAAATGTATTTTTCTTCTCAAAGTTTAAATAAATGGAAATGATTAACTACGTATTCAGAAGAGCATCTAGCTAGCTTTATCAGTAATCGTATACGGAGTTCCTCAATCTCTGAAAAATGCTTAAAATTCAACTCTGTTAACCAGATGAATCTGATGATTATGAATTTAGAAAACCTTCATTCAGTTGTCATTTAGTTCTCGATCACTATACTTAATTGAAAGAATTCAATATTTCAATTTCAAGTGAAGACGAATACAACTTTCAGATAATTGAACCGCGAAACGCATATTTGGTTTCTTCTCTCCCACAGTAGGTTGTTGCTAATGTTATCCGACCAACGGACATTGAGTATCTTGCATAGACAATTTTCACTAAATACCTGTACTGTTTTGATGATGTTTGTAGTGGTAATCCAGTTTTCAACTCTACAATCGAACTGTCTTGATGTTTGTATTGAAGATTGTTACTTCTATGTTGGTTGACAGTTGTCATTTAGTTCTCGATCACTATACTTAATTGAAAGAATTCAATATTTCAATTTCAAGTGAAGACGAATACAACTTTCAGATAATTGAACCGCGAAACGCATATTTGAGAGAAAATAAAATAAAGTGGTAGGATGGGGTGAAGAAAAATAATAAACGAAAAGAAGGTTTGAAAAGAAAATACTAACAATAAGAAATGAATTCATTTATTAAGGCCAAGGGAGAGATAAGGGTGTTACAAAAGTTTTTGTGCTGTACTTACGCCTGTTTCCCCTGGTAGAGCATAGGCCGCTGAGCTGGATTCTTCATCGAACTCTGTCCTGAACAATTATTTCCAGTTGTTTCCAAGTGTTATTTATTCTTTTGATGTCTGTCTCCAAATCCCGACTCATTTTGTTCTTTAGTCTACTGCTTTTCCGTTTCCCTTCGGGATTTTAAGTTAGCACTTGCTTCGTGATGCATTTTAGTGATGTATGTTTTATTCACGTCCATTGTCTTTTCTTAATTTCCTCTTCAATTGAAAGTTGGTTTCTTCTCTCCCACAGTAGGTTGTTGCTAATGTTATCCGACCAACGGACATTGAGTATCTTGCATAGACAATTTTCACTAAATACCTGTACTGTTTTGATGATGTTTGTAGTGGTAATCCAGTTTTCAACTCTACAATCGAACTGTCTTGATGTTTGTATTGAAGATTGTTACTTCTATGTTGGTTGACAGTTGTTTTGAGACTGTAGGAATGCTGCATTTCTCCAATCCTTGCCTTTACATCTGCATCAGATCCTCGTTTGTTTTAAATAGCACTGATAGTGTAATGCCTTTGTATTTCTCACACTTGGTGAAATATCTACCCGGGTTACAGTCCGTTTAAATTGAAGATAGGGTGTATGTATATGAATGTATGTGTACGGACGCTACACTTCACGTTAACAATTCTCATTTCTTTAGAAGTTGTCACGTATTGAGTAGATATGATCAGCTTTAATTTGGTACCTACTGTTTTCTAAGTTACCATATGTGTATCATAATTGACTGTGCAAAATATCCTTATAAATACTCCCTGATTTTATGGTTCGGTAAGTCATTTGATGCAGAAGTTTAAATTACAATTTTTAAAACTCAGTAAACAGAACCTCGTAGTTTTCTTTTTATTTTATAATTCTAATATCCAGTATTACTGTTACCTATAGTACATTAGTTTATTATACTTATTTCATTTATAAATATGACTTTCATATGCATTATAATTTATATACCTCCTTAGTGGATCGTGAAGAACGAGCTCTTGGAAATGATCCAGAAAAAGAACTGCGTGAAAAAGAAGCATTTCAAACTTATGAAAGAGCGTAAGTTTCCTCTTTTTTTTCTCCGAATAATGTTTCTGTTCAGTTTCAGTAGTACTAATAAATTAAGTGGAAATTTTAGTTTGTGCAGTCTGCAACGTGTTTCCACGTGTGTGTAGTTTTTTAAGAAAACTACCCTGGAAAATGTAATTTCTTTCCATTGATTAGTGTTTAGATCAATTCGATGCGTCGGTGTTTGACAGAACGTCGGAATAAACATAAAGAGCATTTTTTGGTTTTCACTAAATTGCATCATTTGTGACACAGTTCAAATGTCATTCTTCTTCTCAAGTGATGAGCACTTTGTAATTAAAACCGCCGTGTTCTACTTTATGGCTGTTGTGAAACGTGGTCTTTGAAGGTATTTGGCACGCACAAGTATCACGCTTTTGATTACAGATATCTTCGAAGCATTACTCACATGTACTGGAGTCTCATTGTGATTAATGCTTAAATTAGACTTCGGGTTCTGGGTTGAAATACCAAAACGATCGATGATGTGAAAGCAGCAATTAAGGTGGTTATGACAAATGTAACCCAAGTCCCATTTACCCCTTACATCTTACGCTGACGTTGATTAGTAAAGGATTATATTGTAGGAATGTTAGAAGCAACTAAATTAGCACATAGTACCAGACAATTAGGTTATGGACTATTAAAATAAGTACTGTTTGTCGGCCTAAATCCCACCCCATCTGTTTCAGTTTGAGAACCTAGATACAATTGATCCTCCTAACAAACGTTGCTCATCGCTTACATAATTCTACGCGGTTAATCAATCTCTTTATTATTTTAGAACTCTTTAGACAATGCGTTAAATAGTGGCACCGTGTTTTATTTTTAATTCGAATAAATTATTATCCTTAGTGCACTTTTGAAGTATAATTTTTATTGTGTACTTTCAAAGGTTTGTAAGCAGATGATAAAAATCCATTTTAAGCAGTTGCTATGTGGCCATGTGTTTAGATAATTATTTTAGAAGTAAACTTAATCGGTTATTTTGTTTTAGAGAAGAACCGCCACTTCGAGGTAGTCGTTGTTCATTAAATGACGACAGTGCTGAAATTGGCAGTGATGGAGATGGTGAACTAGACGATTATAATCTCGATCCTGGTAAGTTGTTACAAAATTCTGTTCTCTTTTTTCATTATATTATTCAATTGGTTGTTTTAGTCAGTTAATTAGGCAAGAGTACTACTCCTTAACTGATTTTGATAAATTCACTACTCTAAAGATAAAGCTGCTTTTCAGTTCAGTCGTTTTGGTATGAATTTCAGACATTTAACTCAGAGTTTATTATTAGTAATAATGAATGAAAACTCGACTCCCACGCGTTGTCAGTTAACCAAATTAACATCGGTCTTAGCATTTCAGCCTAGAAAAAACTAAGTTGTGCATAATGACCTAATGCTTAATAATGTACATACCTTCATGTTCAAGGCGTGTTTCGTTTTCTTTTTGTAAAAAAATGTAATAGGTAAATTTAATGAAGAAGGCTCTTTCATTGGGGAATATGCAACAGAGAGACACAAAGGCCCATCAAATCGTTTACCAACTCTTGATCGAAACTACAATCCAACAGTTTAAATAAAGTAACACAATTCTTGCCAATTTTACCGTCCCATTTTTATTTGTTAATTAGAAGTCAAAATGTTTGATTTTTACCGGATCAAATTGGGGAACTTAATTCTTGAAATTAACCGAACGGTAAACCATCAGATTATTCCTTTACATTTTTTCCTCACCTGCGAATCAAAATATTCAATTCATTCCTCATTCCCTCTAAAATTCGCAATTTAAGAGATCTATCTCATTGGATTAACTTATTTTGTTTCATTATGTGTACTTACTCTTTTTTATTGTTTAATGTTTCCCATCTAGTTTAAAAACGGGAAATGTTCTTTAATCTTACAAATGATTCCCTCTTTTGTTTACTTTTTCCTTCGTTCCTCCCGCCGAATCTCATTGTTATCTCCTTTTTGTTGAATCTGCTTTCTTTTATCACATATTTTGTTTGTTTTTTTAAAAAAGATTAAAAAGAACAAAATTTTACATCATCAGTATATTCCAAAAGAACGCATCAGCTAGTCCTAGGATTCTTTCGTTTTGTTAAAAAATAAATGCATTATTCTAACTAATTTACACAGCTGCTGTTTTATGATAAACACAAGAAAAAGGACAATTTGTGTTTATTGTTTTGTTTTTTCCTCCTCAATTATATCTGTCATTTGACTGCTGTTAAAAATGCTTTTATTTAAATGATTTTTCTATACTGTAGGACTTATTAATATTAATCATTGTATTGTTCAGTTTATTGTATTAACTATTTATGCCTATACGTGTACTGTTTTTATAATTGTTTGTCATTATTAGTTGTATTTAATCGTTTGTCTTTATTATATTATTACTTGTCAACTGTATCTCGACTTTTGTGCATTATTGTATTGTATTACATGAATGCTTCTTTTCTATGTATGCGTTATTTGGTTTAAACAGTGTTTTAATATTGACCATTTATTGTGTCAGTCTACATTTTCTTCGTTCTTGTCATTATTTAACCATATATATAATCTGACATCTGTTCGATCTCATATGTTATGTACATACACGTTTTGTGTATGTGCACATACCAACACTGATGTATGCTATAGTGATTGTTGTTTTATACATTACCACTACGACTTCTACATGGACTATGAAGTTTAATACAGAAAATTACTTATATATATATATCACCTTAGTTTACGTAACAAATTTTCGCTTTTTTCAACCAAAAAACAAACTTTTGTTTATTTTTTACATCCATTTGTTTTTTTTTCATTTTTATGCAAATTGTTAAATGCTATCTTTTAACTTTTTGTTGTTATTTTGTTCTTTAAAGATTAAATGATTATTAATGCTTTTTTGTATACTATTAATGAATGCTTTTTCAATAGTTTCTGTATAACATATGTCTAAATAAGAAATATATATTTATGGTTACAGTTAATCTTAATTGTTCGTAGTGCAGGTTAGTTGAATTATAAGAATACTGTTGACTTCGCAAATCGATATTGACTAACAATGACTGATGTTTTACATCAAAGATGAATTCGAACCATTGATACCTAAATTTCTGATCGGTTTTTAGTTCTACAAGATATACAAATTTCTGGTATTTGTTTTACATGCCTTAAGATTTTCCATCACAAACAGGTTTTAATTTAGCTTAGGTACAAGCTTCTTGACTTAAACTAATGTAGTGGTCCTCAATTGTCATAAAGCTCTATCTGTTGTAAGTGATCTAGCGTTTAGCACAGTTAACCGATTAAATTACATAAGATATACAGTGATATGTTACTTTGATTGATTGTTACAATGTACAAGAAAAACATGAAATGTAGTAATTAGCTGTATTTGGCCTATTTCTCACTCGTTTTGCATTATGAACCTTCCAATCATTAGTCAAGTTTAAATGTCAGCATCATATTTTAAGTGAAATTTTATAATAATTGTAATTTTCGAAACATTAACTTTCACAAAGTCAGTCAGCTGTAACGAAGAACCAGGGATATATAAATGCATCGGTCCAAGTTGCCATACCGCATTAGCACAACAAGCTGAACACCGGGTTCATAGAAGTAGTTAATTCAGTGGTAGTAATATATAGAAGAAAGATTGCATATAATGATATAGTACAGGAAGAAAGAATTAGTTCGTAGAAAAAAGATATGAAGCGATTTTAATCTCATGGTTTGAGGGAAGACAGTGTGTATACACCGACACCATTGTAATCGATTCTGAGCCATGTCACACAGTTTCCAACCATTGGTTACGATAGTCACGCGGACCCCGACCAGGTAGTCTGCATCTACCTAATTATCCCTAACACCAGTCAACATCGCGCGTCATGGTAATCGGTGTTCAGGCATACGCAGCGCGTGACCCAACCATCTCAGTCGATGAAGATTCACAACCTCATCAACTGATTTACCATCATTCTCTAATACCCTGTGTCTAACCTCACTATTACTTACCCGGTGATCCCAGCAGATGCGAGCGATATTTCTGAGACATCTGTGGTCAAATATTAGTAGTTTACAAGTATCTCCTACTCTTAATAGGCCATGTTTCGCAGCCGTATAGTAGAACGGAACGAACTGCCGCGCAGTATACTCGTCCCTTAATTGATAGACGGATATCTCGCCTTCGCCATAGGTGACGTAAGTTGGCAAAAGCCAAACGAGCTTTTCGAATCCGTACTGAGATTTCGTCAGACACCAACCCATTAGGGCTGATCAGACTTCCAAGATAAGTGAAGTTGTCAACGCGTTCGACTATTTCACTCCCTATCTTTAGTTCAGGTGTTAACGCAGACCAGTCCTGAAGGAACAACTTGCAATTAGAGGGGGGGAAGCGCATTCCAAACATTCTGGCATTGTTGCTCAGTGCTACTAAAAGACTGCATTTTATCAGTGTCTTAATCAAACAGGACTATGTCATCTGTGTATTCTAAGTCGATAAGTGGACCTACTGGAAGGAGATCATCGCCCGAGAATTCAGTCAGTGAGAGCGTTATTTCCATCAGTAGGTCTATGATGAAGTTAAACAAAAAATGGAGAAAGTGGACAGCCTTGACGGACACTACTTGAGGTTGCAAAATCAGATGACAGTTCGCCATAAGCTCTGACTCGACTAGTAGTGTTCGAGTAAAGAGCCTTCACAATGTTTATGTACTTCATGAGGTACACCTTTCAATGACAGACACTCCCACAGAACCTCTCGGTCTACAGAGTTGAATGCTGCCTTTAAGTCGAGGAAGACCACCATTGTCGGACGCCGATAAGTATGCCTGTGTTCTGAAACCTGACGAATGGTGATTATGTGGTTGATTCAGCCACGACCAGGTCTGAAGCCAGCTTGATTCTCTCGTGTTTACCGTTCACGAGTCTTAGTTAGGCGTCCGATAATTATTGAGGCTAGTATTTTAGATACTATATTAGTCAAACTAATCCCTCTATGGTTGTCACAGGATGATTTTGACCCTTTCTTATATATTGGGACGATAAGTGATTGTGACCAGTCAGAGGGGATTATGTCCAACTCCCAGATTTTAGCTAAAATATTGGTCAACCTAGTCGCTAAAATTGGACCACCATCCTTAAAGACCTCTGGAGCCAATCCATCTGGACCAGCTGCCCTTCCTCGTTTTAGATTAACTATAGCCTTTTGAACTTCAGTTAGAGTTGGGGGACCTACTTCAATGTTCCATTCATACTGTCTGGGAATGATGGGTAGTTGTAGAGTAGCTGAAAGTCAGTTGAACTGCTCCTTAAATTGTTCCACCCATCGTTCTAAACGTCTGGACTGGGAGCAGATGAGAGTGTCTTCTTTTTCCGAAATAGTCTGACTTACACTTGACTTTTTAATTCCAGTTTCTTTTATTAGTCGGTAGAGCTGTCTTGTGTTCCCTATAGCCACCGCCTTTTCCATCTCTTTTGCTTTCGTTGCTCACCACTACTCGCGGTCGTTCCTTAGACTTTTGCTTAACCTAAATCTGATTTGTTTACGCTCTTCATCGTGTTCAGATCCTGATGGGATGAGTTTACGAGGGTCCATCAGTGGAATAGACCTTGAAGAAATCTATTGGTTCTTTGTAACCCTGTGGTTTAAATTACTAATTGATGTCACTGCTGTTTCCGCATCTGTTCGTATGTGTTTGCAAGCAACATCTGGGTCAGCCTAGTTTTCAGAACTACCTAAGTGTGACCTCAGTTGTTTTTAGAACCTACTTTTGGTTTTCTCGTTAGTCAGTTCAGTTCTAATGGGTCTTTTTAATGTAGCTTTCTTGCGTCCAGTGAGGCGCAAGCAGATGCGTGCTCGTACTAGGGCATGGTCGGAGTCCAAGCAGGTACTCCAGAATGAGCGACAATCTTCTATCGACCCTCTCCAACGATGACTGATGGCAATATGGTCTATTTGAGTCCATCGTTGGTTTGGTGCAGGGGGTCGCCATGTTAGACGGTGTCTCTCCTTATGCTTAAAATTTGTGTTTGCTAAAAATAAACGATTGTCTGAGCAAAGTTGCAGCAGACGATCACCATTATCTGTTCGCTGTGCCGGAATACTAAAATACCCACCTAAATGTCTTTCTGTTTCGTTTAAGCTACCTACCTGGGCATTAAAGTCGCCCGCTACGAGTACTATGTCTGAACGTTTAGCTTTATGAAGAAGTTCAGACAGTTTTCTGTAAAATTCATCTTTCACTTCATCCGAACTGCAGTTAGTGGGAGCGTAGGCAGAAACGGAAAAAAGGCAACGACAAAACTGATACTTTGAAAAACGTTACCTGTTTTTCTGAATCTATTCAATAAAATCAAATATGTAAACATAACTCATTGGTATAAGGTGGTGGAAGATTTTCTTCTAATCGCTGAAAAATTCCCATTATATTAAAACACAATTGTATGAACGAAGAATATCCTTTTTAATAATTTCTCATCAGGTTCTACAATTATCTCATATCCAAATCAATAATCCACGAAATTGGCCAGATTTAAGGCAGAGTACATCATTTGGAAATTGTAATATGTGAATCAAGAATTGTT